TTTATGTAGCCATGACAGTAGCAGATGCAATTTTTTTTCTGAGTTTTAAACCTTCTGAAGGTATTTGCTGTAGTGTCTGCATAGATTAATGTAACCTAAAGATTTCCTTTTTTCCTCTATCAGATGGATGATGAAGACACACTACTACCTAGGAAATTGCAAGCTGCTCTGGAGCAGGCTCTAGAGAGAAAGAATGAACTGATAAATCAGGATTCAGATAGTGATTCAGATGATGGTAAGTTCATTTAGAAACAGGGACTTGTATAAACAAACATGTAGGTAGAATTGTGACTTTCTGTCCAGGAGAAAGAAAGATGGGACTTGAGTTCTCAAATACCTTTTGTGACATCAAAAATAGTGAGCACACAGGGAATGAGACTGATAGCATCAACCCCCAGTAATACCAGCAATCTATTTTAATTTCTTTGTAAATGACATGGGCTCTCATGGGTCCCTCTGAACCTTTGCAGTTGACTTGGCCCTAGTTCAATCCAGATAACTCTACAGGCTTAGGGATGTGTCTGAGTTTGGAGTTGCTTTTGGCACTCGGTATTTTCAGGGGAGAGAAACAGGTACCACCAGAAAAGAGTTTCAGTGCAAGATGGGTTGAATTGTCTCTGAAGGTTCATATTTCTCTCCAGCAATGATAAAAACAGCTCAGGCTCAATATAAATGCCTGTGGTTAAAGGTATGAAACAGGCCCATATTCAGTTTTTGAAATTTATTTCTACTCACCTGTATTACATATGTAAAACTGTTTTAACATCTCAGAAATTATGAAAACCCAAATTCTACAACATGCCCTTTTAAATCAGTCTTGGTATCGGCTTATTATCCTCAGGGATGAAACACCCATAAAATGCTTAATTTTCTGAGTTGTTTCCTGAGGATTTGTAATTCTCATTGACTGTTGGTTATGGAACACCAATTATACACAGTGGCACTTGTGGTTATGAAGTTGTTGCCCTCTCTGATGTGCACCAGGTGTGCAGGGAGCCTCCGGCACAACTCCTTTCAGTTGTTAGCACAGCATCAATAAACCGAGAGATGGAGTACTGGCCCTGTGGGGATAATGCTGACAGCTCTGGTAACAGCTGATTTTGGTGTCTTATTGCCGCCTTATTTTGCAGAATGTAACACCCTGAATGGATTAGTGTCTGAAGTTTTTATCCGATTCTTTGTGGAGACAGTTGGCCATTATTCCCTGTTCCTAACCCAGAATGAAAAAGGAGAGCGTGCCTTCCAAAGGGAGGCTTTCCGTAAATCTGTGGCCTCCAAGAGCATCCGCCGCTTCTTGGAAGTTTTCATGGAATCCCAAATGTTTACTGGCTTCATCCAGGACAGAGAGCTGAGGAAATGCAGGGCAAAAGGTAAGGGTGTATTTCTCCCCTGCGGCGCGTCCCGCAGCGAGCGACAACGTCTACGCCCCCGCGCTCGCTGGGAAAACGGAAACGCATCCCTAAACTAATGCCGGGCTAACCGGAAGGTCGATATAAGCGGAGGCTGCCGGAGGCAGAGCCCGCACGGCCGGGGCTGCGCCGTGGGCACCGCGGGAGCCGGGAGCGGGGGACGCGGGTGCAGCCGGGCACAGCTCACCCTGGCGACACTTGTTTGCCCTCTGCCACAGGTCTCTTCGAGCAGAGGGTTGAGCAGTATTTGGAAGAGCTTCCAGACACGGAACAAAGCGGAGTGAACAAGTTCTTGCGAGGCCTTGGTGAGGAAAATGTTTAGAAGTATTTCTGAAATTAATGTTAGTGCTTGTGGTTATTTTTTTTTTCTGTTTTGTTTTGGTTTTTTAAAATTTAAAAAAGCCTTACCTGAGGTAAAATCAGATAGGCAGCAATGTGATAGGAAATATTAAAAGGAAAACAGTGAAAACATAGTTAAAGATGACAAAACCAGATTTAATTATGAGCCTTGTTAACACTTTCATTTTCATTTTGGGGGTGGGGGAACCAAACCATAATAGAGGAGTAGAACAAGAAGGTGTCTGACCACTCAGCACAGTTGGCTGTCCCTGCTGGTGTTGGTTCAAAGAGTTACCTTACAGCAATTACATTAAAAGTTAGACCCATCTGCTAGGTCACTTTTATTACCCCGGCTTTTTGGTATATGCGAGACACTGACGGTGTGCTTTCTTCAGGGAACAAAATGAAGTTCCTTCACAAGAAGAACTAATTTCTTTCTGCTGAAATACCAACCCAAAGACTATTTATGACACTGCGCGAGATATCTGCGGCGTTCCAGAGTTCGGAGCATGAGGAGAGCAGAGCGAGCTCTAAGTGATGACTGATGCTGTTGACAGTGTGCCACGTGATGGCTCCTTTATGTATTTAGATAGAATTTGTACATAATGTGCTGTAAGCTTTTTGTAACTGATTTTGTAATGAGCAAGAAAACTGTGGTAAATATTTGTATATTCCTGAGAATAACAGGTGCTTATTTTTGTTTCTTTAGTATGAATTGAGTTATGCTTGGTGCAAAAAATGAATAGCTGATTTATGTGCAGCTGACTGTCTCAGCAGAACCACTGACTTCAAGGGATGTTTGTGAGAGAGCGACGCTGATGCCTGAATACTGTGGGGTGAATGAGCTCGGGTACATGGGAGAGGTTGTACGAACGGGGGCCGCTCTCACGCGGCACAGTTGCTTGTTCGGTTGGGTTTTTTCCCTCTAATTAATTTTAAAGAAATAACAAAGCAACTTGATAATAAGGTACTTGGTTCACAATGCAAACTTTCCACTTGGTTTGAACTCTGGTCAGTAAACTCCTTGTAATCCATTCTGCACTAAGACTGCTAAACCTGAGGAGATCTCAGCTCTTTGACATACAAGCTGCAGCGAGTAGGTACAGTACATCCTTTCCTAATGTATGTATGTATGGTTTCTAATAAACTCTGTAAATATACCTGTTTGTTTATATTCATTGCAAACCTCTGCAATTTCTGATGTTGAGCAGGTACAAACCCAGTAACTTTCCTGTGATTTTTTAAAATGAATTTGTAATTAAAATGGTTATTATGAACCTGTCTTTTGGTAGGTTTGCTATTTCATGATGTGTAGTTTGGGTTTTCTTCAATGTTTTTCACTGGTGCTAAGAGAAGGCGTTTTATATCACTGTTTTGTTAATTTTATCCTAACAGAAGTATCTCTTAAAACATTTCTTTCATGGGGTAGCAGCAAATTCTTTTGTCATTGTATCGTATATACTCCTGAACTGTGGTATTTTCAGGTTGCTTTTGTGCTACCTTGGGTAGATGATCAGAGTAGAATACAACCAGCTTATAGCAGGCAGCCTTTGCCTGAATTTCTGATGAGCTGATCACCTACATTTCATGAGAGACTGCTTTTCTTTTACATTAATTGCAGTGTGTTTAGGTGGTGTTTCCATGTCAGTGAAGACAGGACAGGAATGGTTCAGCTTGCTGTGGCTCCTACACAGCTGTGAGTACTGCTTAACTACCACATTCATCCTTGATCTGATAACAGAACTGTTAAGGTTCTGTAAGTTTCCCTGTAGTCTGAGGAAGAAAATATAAATGCTTGAATCTTTGCAAGTCTGACAGATAATGAAAATTAGCTGAAGCTTCTTACCTTTAAAGAAAACAAGGCATACTGTGTTTTTCTTCATTTGCAGCATGATTTCTCTAGTTAGACTGGCTTTGAGGCTTGCGCAATTCCGAACCTGTCAGTGGTTCTGGTTTGCTATCAGCCTCATAGAACAATATCGAGGGATTATTCACTAAAAAGGTGAAGTCGTTTCCTTTTTTAATTACCTCCCTCACACTCATGTATACAAGAGCTTCTTAAGTGGACATGAAATGTCTGTAAAATATCAGGTGCTTTTGATTCAATGGAAATGTCATCACAACTGATAATTTCCATTAATTTTACTATATAATATGCTCTAAGTTCCAGAATGACTCCTAGACGTAATTCTTCGAAGTGGAAGGAATAACGTCACTTGTACAGGTGGCTTCTGGCCTTTTTATAAACAACAGCTGCTAGTAAATGTATGGGGAAATACATATTTCTCTTAAGAAAATGATCAATAAAACATCATCAGGACATGCTGCAGAGTTGCTACAAAAGCAAGACAAAGCTGCAGAATGTCGATGTACAAGACTGTGATGCTGTAAAAGCCATCTCGCACACCAAAGCTATTTTCCTCCATCTGCACTTTAAAAATTTAAAGGAGAAAGGTTTTAAACGTTTTATGATCCATCAACATGTTGCTCCTGCTTTTGTAATGTGAATCAGAGGATAGAAATGGACAAGGTGAGATCACGTTTCAAAAAATCTGTAGATCTTCTTGACCCTCACACTATGGCTATATAAAACAATCCCTGTGTTATCTGGAGGTCTGTGTTTGAAAGGGAAGGATGAATGAAAAATAAGGAGCGTTCTCTTCTAAATTAGTTGCTAAAACTAATGGGCTTCCTCAACGTGGAACATTACAAGTGCACCGCTTAACTGAGAAGGAAATCCTAAAAAAACCCAAATCTAATACCAAGTCCTATGTTTAAAACTGGTAAAGATCTGTTTAAAATCTTACAGTATAAAATCCATTTAAAAAAAAAAAACAACAAAAATCCAAGCTTAATCATAGAATATTTAAGAGTTCGCGGGGACCCAAAAGGACCATCGAGTCCTACTCTTAAGGGAATGGCCCACACAGGGTTCGAGCACACAGGGTTGGTGTTCCTAGCACTGTGCTCTGACCAAGTAGAGCAAAGAAACAGTAACGCTCCTCAGGCAGCACTGGTACTCTAGTGTGGCAAATAACTGTGTTTAATACATAGTGTTTATTTTCCCGTTGTTATGGGTGTTTAATAAAGTGACCCAGCTTGCAAATTTTCCAAAGTTCTGCTCAAAATCCCACTTTTGCTGCGAACCGCAGCAAGAACTCCGAGAACAGCCGACGCAGCTCTCCCCCACTGAGTTCCGCCCCCGCCGCGGTCTCCTCAGCGAAGCCTCGCGAGAGTTCAGCCCCGCCCACCCGCCCACCGCGCTTTTTCCCGCTCTCGCGAGAGCCGCGCCCTTTCCCTCCCTCGCGCACGCCGACAAGATGGTGGGAGCTGCTGCCGGGATGGGATGGAATGGAATGGAGGGTTCAGCGGCCGTCGCTCCCGCAGAGGGATATGGCTGAGGAGTTCTGGAGGGTGGCGGGGAGGCGCGTCTCCGAGCCCGCGGCGGGGCAGAGCGGTGCGGGGAGGCCGGCCAGCCATGGCGCCCGGCTCCGCGCCCACCGTGAGGCTGCGGCCTCGGGGTGCGGCGGGGGGTTCTGCTGCCTCTCGCTGCCCACCGCGCTCACAGCTTCTCTCCCCCTTTCCCGCAGCCTTCCAGGCTAAGGAAGACCCGGAAGCTGAGAGGGCACGTCAGCCACGGGCATGGCCGCGTGGGTGAGTGGAGGGGAGGCCGCGGCTGGGCTGGGGCGCCTCGGCGGGAGTGTCCCTGTCGGCTGAGGGCTCCCCGGCGCTGAGGGGAGGCGGCTGTGCCTCGTGGGTTGCAGGAAAAGGCGGCTGTGGGTGCAGGGGTCCGCTGGGCTGTGGGAAGTAGCGAGCAGGTCTGAAGGCCACAGCATGGGGAGTCGGTGCCGCAGTGATGGGCCAATCAGAAGCCTTGCACATTTGGAGCTTCAGTAGCGCTCAGGCGATCAGTACTGGTCGTGCGACATTGTAACATTACAGGGCAGTGCTGTCTGCCCTCTGATTCTTTGGCCATTCACACCTTGTCACACAACAAGGTAGAATAATTAATTAAATTAGTTTAAATTGACACTAAACGTAGCTTTAAGCCCAGGTATTATATGTAACGTTAGTGTCACAAACTTAAATTTTTCTTTTTAGGGAAACACAGGAAGCATCCAGGAGGACGTGGTAATGCTGGTGGTATGCACCATCACAGGATTAACTTTGATAAATAGTAAGTGAACGTTTTAAATGAATGCTGGCAACGTGTGTGTTTCTGAAGTAGACACAACTAACTTTTATGTGTGAATAAACAAAATTTCCTGCAATCTTGTGTGCTTTTTACTCTTAACATGAAGTGTGGCATTATAGCTACAGTCAGCTCACGTCCCCATTTACCCTAAAATCAAAGGCTTTTTCACTTAAACAAGGTGTCTTTTAAGAGTTCAGTGCTGCATTTGGTAAATTTGACCAGACTTGCTGGTTAACAACTTGGTTCCTGCTTAACAATGCACACACAATAAACTTTAAATATTATGTTAAATGTTAAATCCAAACTGCATCCTGTTAGCTGCATCCTGTAGGGTCAGGGATGTTGTCCTTACTCATGGCCGAGACTGTAGAGTCACATCTGGGCACTGCCTGTTGTCCTGGTGTGCTGGAGTCCTCGGACAGTAACCACTAATCTATTCACTGGCTGTGCCCATTCCTGTCTCAGTCAGTCACCAGGTTAGTGACAGGAGCGCTGAATCTCTGCAGGCAGTGCAGCCCTCCCAGCATTCCTGGAGTTGGGACTGGCCTGGAAATGCAGACTCCAGTGAGAGGGATGAAGTTGGTAGTTTAAGGGAGATAAAACACTTCAAGAGGAAGTAATTTTTCCTTGATTTCGTTACTAATAATTATTACACCTAAATACTACACATATGAAAAAATATGTGAAATTTCAATTGGTTTGATCAAGTAAGGTGCTTGATTGAGTCTTAATTTTGTAGTTCTACTTGTTCAGGATGAATTAAAAATGTGATCTAATGTGGAATGTGTTTCTTTCCCAGTCACCCTGGTTACTTTGGAAAAGTAGGCATGAGACACTATCACTTGAAGAGAAACCAGAAGTTCTGTCCTACTGTCAACCTGGATAAACTGTGGACACTCGTCAGTGAACAGACCAGGCTTAATTATGCCAAAAATGAGGCTGGTCTGGCCCCGGTCATCGATGTAGTGCGCTCGGTGAGTCCCTGCTCAGAGTCAGCCTTGTGATTTCTGGTCTCTTCATGTGTGACTGAGCTTTGCGTTTCCAAGTGGGATAATGGTGAACTGCAACTAAGTTCGAGTGGTTAAGTATTCCTGAGCTTCTCGAGACAGGTATCTTGGTATACAAGTAGTTACAGAGGCACTTATGGTGTTACATTTTTTCCTGTAAGAACTTTAACTCATAATTGTGCATGACTGTGGGCATGGAGTTCCCTCCTTTGGGTAGATGGTGAAAGATTTCTTGTTTAAAATGTTACTGAAAGCATGTACAAAAACCTGGCAGAACTGGTCTCATTCTCATAACATCACTTTTCCAATGTCGAGACTAGAGTCACATCTCCACATGTTTGGTTGTCTTGGTGTGCTATAGTTCTCGGACATAAACACCTGATCCTTATTCACTGGCTGCGATGTCCTGTATCCCAGTCAGCCACCGAATCAGGAACACTGAACTGCTCTGCCAGGTGCAGATGTTCTGCCTCCCACATGAAGATACCTGTGTTGGCCAGTTAGGCCACCACTTCTAACCAGCAGTGATTTCAACAGCTGTTTTATTAATGGACTTCATGCCATGATTGTCCTGTTAATGTAAGGGACAGGAATGACACGAGAGGATTCCAGTGTTAGAGAGCAGCTATGGCTGCGAAAGCCTGACAGAGCTTCAGCTGTGCATTTCAGGCATGCAGAAGAGCCCTCTGCTCTGCTCAGAAGTACCCAGGTGTCCAACTGGTAAAGAGCACTGACCAGCAGTCATTGCATAGTAGGCAGTGTTGGAAGTGCAATCAACTGCTCTTCCCAGAAAAGTGTGGAAAGGTTGGTGACTTTAGAGTGTTTTTTGTATATGGAGTATTTGGGGAAGCATCATCCAACTTCTAAATCACAGGAGAATTTCAGTGTACAGTTTGCACTTTCTCTCAGAACAAACACAACCCCACTAGGTCATGCAGGGCATCTCTATAGGTACTGAGTTGTCTGGATGAGGTCATGTGATCACAGTTTTAGTTTTAACTGTTGAAAAACAGGTCTGAATGTAGAAGCCTGCAAGCTGATTACAAACACTACAAACACTGAACTTCTTTTTTAAATCTTTCTAGGGCTACTACAAAGTCCTGGGCAAGGGGAAGCTGCCCAAGCAGCCTGTAATTGTGAAAGCAAAGTTCTTCAGTAGAAGAGCAGAGGAGAAGATCAAAGAAGTTGGTGGTGCCTGTGTGCTTGTGGCATAAAAGTTTTTGTTTTATTCAAATTTTTTGAATAAAAACAATGGGTAAAATGAACTGATATACAGAAGCTTGTTTTGTGTTTTCTTTTTCTGACTTGTCCAGACACTGTTCACACTTCAGTCTTACCTGCTTAGTTATTTCTGGTACCTTTTGAACAGTGGTCTGTTTCTTGCTTTATTTTAAATTTGCCTGACTACGGTGTCAAGTACATGGCATGTACAAATACCTCATCTTTTTGTCTTTACAGGGTAGCAAAATAGATTCTGTGTTTGTGCTGCTCTTTGATTGGTGATCCTCTCTACAGCTGTCTGTGAAAAGGGGACTTGATGTGTTTGGCAGTAATTAAATTTATATGGCTTTTAGGGTAAAGTTGATGTACGTTCCATTTATGAAATGGTTCATCTTAGCCAGTGGTACTGCTAGTTGTGAAGAACTAAAACGAACAGTTTGTAAAGTACTAAGGTAAGAGTGTGTGAACTGTCTCTCCCTGACTACTGGGACTACTGTTCATCCACTGCCAAGGCAAAAACATTCCAGTTCTCAAAGGTGAGTTGCATGGTACAACAAACTAAGGAGCGCTGTTACTCCTGATATTGGCCACCTGGTCGCTGACCAGATCACAGAAGTGAGGCAAAGCTCGCTTGGCACTGATGTGCCCCGTGCACACGTGACAGGTGACACCAGCTCGCTTATATGCATAGTAGACACCACTCTCAATTCTTTGGTATTTAATGTCTCAGTATTATGTCTTGCAATATTTTATCATGCAAAATGTTCTTTGTGAGAGGCATGCCAGCCCCACCAGCTCTGGTCTCTGCCCCACTGCAGGCCAGCTGGGATTTAGTGTGGGGTTGGGATTTTGCACAGCTGAGCCTTGTCCCAGACACACCTACGCTGAGGCTGGGGCAGGACTTCTCCTTCCTTGGCAGCTGCCTGTGCCGTGTGCCTACTCCTGCTAGAAGTGCCCAGAGGAAAAATTCAAACCTGGGGTTTGAGGTTGAGCTGTTAATCTGTCAAGCAGGAGCGGCTGCCAGAGGTGCTGTGCTGGGGAAGGAGGTGATGTGCTGGGAGTCACTGCTGTTGGGTGCATGCCCTCCCTTCACACTACCTCGCCCCGGAGACAAAATTGGTGGAATTGCTCTTAATAACATTTCAAAGTGCTGTTATGAGCCTCCTGTAGCAACATCCACTTTTAATAGACTGAAGAAGATTAAAAAAAAAATCTGTTTAAATAGAGAAAAATAATCACAGGAAATTGAAAGACCTTCTTAGAGAGTTCATCCCTCAAATATAGAAATTGTTAAGTTATAAGAGTATATCATTACAAAATTCTCTTGTCTGAAATTCATTAATGCTTTGCTGAGATACCTGGATGGTTGCCATCGATTTGTGTTGAGGTAGCTGTTGCCTTCCCAAGGCCATGACTGACCTTTTGATTCCAAGGCAGCCCCAGTGCAGTGCCTTTCCTTTGCCCTCCTCTGGACTGACATACTCAAAGCACTTTGCTTCCCATTCCAGGTGTGACTGCCTGCCAGGTGCCTCCCCAGTTCTCCCAGTCTTCCTCTATTTCTGTCCTGTGTCCTGCCTCATTATCGTCACCATACATCTGATCCAAGCCAGGATGTCATTGGCCTTGGTCACCTGGGCACGCTGCTGGATCGTGTTCTGCTGCTGTCAAACAGCACCTCCAGGTCTTTTTCCACTTGGCCCCTTTCCAACCACTCTGTCCCCAGCCTGCAGCGCTGCCTGGGGTTGTTGAACCTTGTTGAACCTTGTTGAACCTCATGGACTTGGTCTCAGCCTATTGATTCAGCTTGTCCAGATCTCTCTACAGAGCCTTCCTGCCCTCCAGCTGATCAACACTCCCACCCAACTTGGTATCATCTGCAAACTGACAGAGGGTACCCTCGGTCCTCTTGTCCAAATCATTGTTAAAGAAATTAAACAGGACTGGCCCCAATACTGAGCCCTGGGGAACACCACTGGTGACCGGCTGCCAGCTGGATGTAACTCCATCCACCAGCCCTCTCTGAGCCCAAACATCCAACCAGTTCCTAATCTAGCCAAGAGTACACCCATCCAAGCCGTGTGCAGCTATTTCCTCCAGGAGAAGGCTGGGGGAAATGGTGTCAAAGACTTTACTGAAGTTTAGGTAGACAACATCCACAGCCTTTCCCTCATCCACTAAATGTGTTATCTGTCATGGAAGGAGATCAGGTCAGCCAAGCAGGACCAGCCTTTCATAAACCCATGCTGATCCCCTGGGTCTGATCCCCTGGTTATTGCACAAGTGCCACAAGACGGTATTTAAGATAATCTGCTCCGTGGCCTTCCCCAGCACCAAGGTCAGGCTGACAGGCCTGTAGTTCCCTGGATCCTCTTTCTGGCCCTTCTTGTAGCTGGGTGTCACAATTGCTGACCTCCAGTGAACTGGGACACACACACACACACCCCCCTAGTTAGCCAGGACTTCTGATAAATGACTGGAAGTGGCTCAGTAAGCACTTCCACCAGCTCCCTCAGTACACTTGGGTGGATTCCATCTGGCTCCATAGACTTGTGTGTGTCTAGGTGGTGTAGCAGGTCACTACCATTTCATCTTGGTTTACAGAAGTTTCACTCTGCTCCCCATCCCTGTCTTTCAGCTTAGCGGGCTGGGTACTCAGAGAACAACTAGTCTTACTATTAAAGACCAAGGCAAAGAAGATATAGGTACCTCAGCCTTCTCTTCCTCCATCTACCAGACTACTAATTTGCATACCTGTCTCAGCACAAAATTTTAAACACTTTTATCACTCTCTTCCCTCTCCTGCCAAAAAAAACTAATACATAGCTTTGGATGTTATGCAAAAAGCAGAAATTAAAATGTAGGGTAACCTGCTTCTGCCCCTCCAGCCACAGGTTCAACCTTTACGGTGATCCAGTGTTTCCCAGTGTCAGGCTTCGTTTGCACTGATTCTCTGTGCAGGGATGCTTTGGTCCCGGGCTGTGGTTTCTTTGTCTAAACAATGCGGTAGTCTAAGACCTCAGCTTCCTACTGCAGAAATGAAATGTTTTTGTGGGTGCTGGTTTGTCTTCTTAGCAACAGCACTTGCAAGAAACAACAGAGATGGAGTGAGCTGAGAGGCTGTGCTGCTCTAGGGACACTTGCCTCTGAAAGATGGTTGATGAAGATGCATTGTAAAAAGTAAGCTTGTGTAATAAGCACTGATATAATGTTAGTTAAATCATAGGTACAATTGCCAATTCAATTCACAGATCATTTCTAAAGGGACCTCTGCTTTTGAAATTAGAATCTTAAGTTTTAGTGGTAGGTTTGAATTTGTCTAGGTAATTTGTCAGTCAAGTTGGTGGATATCTACCTAGAACAGGTCTTGGGTATGAAATATGGTGCAGACTTTAACATAGGATCCATTTTTTTCTCTAAAGTGTTCTAAATACCAATGACTTCAGGATGCAACACTTAAAAATTTCCTGGTTGTGAATTTCTGAGACTCTCATGAATTTTTTGCATTGTAGAAAAAAACCCCCAAACCAAAAGGAAGCCACTTACTATTTCCACTGGAATCTCCCACAAGACAGATTCCTTCAAGGGAATAGGTGGCCCTAAAATTAGAGCTGCTGCTTTTCTGTGCTGGGGAAATCTGGATATTGTACCTTCAGTTACATACTGCTGGTAGCAGGGCCACCATGTCAGGGCTATTGGTCCCAGGGGGCTGGCTCAGATAGAAGGGTGACTCCAGAGGAGACGAGACTTTATTTGCTTTTTCTCCTCTGATGCAACTTGCAGAAGTCGCCCTTTGCAGGTTGTATCTCTCACAATCTCAGAATAGAGGATGAAACATGAACTGCAAAACTCTCAATCGACCTTGGGGAGCTTAGGTTGGCAGGAGGAACACTGTCCTGCTTGTGGGAAGCTTAGGTTTTGTTTATAATCTGATCTGTGGTCATCTTGATAGTCAAAATTTGATTACTGTGAAGTGCATTTTCTATAAAGAAGATTGGCAGAAGATGCTGTACATTTCTCAAGGCAGCTTTCTAACATGCATTGCTGAAATGATGGACATGTGATCAGCTATGCTTATTATTTGCTTTACCTGAAAACTGTAAAATATTGAAGTGAAATTGTAAAAATAGTCAGAGAATATCATCATCTTTATTGCACAGTTTCAGTGCTTCTAACAGGAAATGTACAGTGTGATAATTCAGCCCGGTAGCAGCTTTGTAAGTAGATCAATAGAACAGATTAGTTCAGTTTTTACAGAAGTAGCAAATACTAGAGAGATAGTGGGATCATGGTTTGTAAACCTTAAACCACACTTTCCTGCACAACAATCTGCAAAGATATTCTTTTCTGTAAAGCAGGTATGTGATTTTCAGCTGAAAGGAACTTCTTGTCTGCACAAGGGCTAAATAAATGTTGTTTGTTTCATTGTTCATCCCGCTGTTGCCTTCTAGTTTGCGCTTGAGTGATCAAGTGTTTTGTGAAGGGCTTGTCATGAGCCATTTTGTGACTCTTCATGTTTTCGATGTCAGACTTCAGCCAACAGAAATGGAGACCCTGGATCTGCTGAGGAACTGTTTGGTGTGCAAATGGGACCTGAGGAGGAGAGACCCCAGAATGCTACCTTGCCTTCATTCCTTCTGTAAGGACTGTCTTCCGGATTTGATTCAAGGATACAGCTATATTCCCACTCAGTATGAAGTTCTGTATGAAGGTAATATTTAAGGATCTCTGGCTTGTGCTCTTTGCATTACAGTATTATAAAAGTAGGTGGATTGAGAAGTACTTTTTGAAGCCTATTCTTCTACAGCACTGCTTTAAATTGATAAATTAAGAGAGTCAAGATTTGTATGAGCAGAGAGTGGATTGAGAACAAGCCTTCCTCATTATGTTTTTTATCCAACAGCAGTGTTTTGAAGAGAAATTACACAGTCAGGCAACATTTAACATTTTTCAGAATGAGCGAGGTTTCAGTTATCAAGTGTGTCATCATGAATATTTTGTTTTCTTAGCTTAATAAATGAATAAAAGCTGCAAGATAGTTTCCAAGCTACATCTTTTTG